ATAGGTATTGATTGATATTTGGGAGATGCAAAGCAAATGGTTTGATGGTCTGATGGTTTTAATTCCAGTGTGTGTCTACAATGAATATTTAGGGTGTAATCTTAATTTGTCTGAGTCCATCTCCACTTTTGAGGTCACGAGGTGAAAGAGTGTTTCTTTTGATTATGAGATAAGAGTCTTGATTTTCCGCAAAAATATTCCTGCTGACTGCAGCCAGGAGCCCTTAATGAGCTGCATGCTATGAGATGGTTTTACATGCGGTTAATTTATACTTTTACTTATTTAGAGAATTTGCAGCAATGTTAATCAGTTAATGGTTTGCTATGTAAAAAATACGCTTTTCCTCTTAAAAATGGAAACAGCTATCATGATTGCGAAATTGGTTGTCTTGTTAGCATTTGGGCTTTTTGCTCGGGTGTTAAGCTGGATGAACGACTTTAGTCAAAAATGTCAGTTGACTCAGTGAAATTTGTTGAGCTGTTCAGAGGGCAACACTTGATTCGAAGGGCATTCGGTTTTCTTGGCGACCTTTTTAAGTCGTTCTCATTTTATTTATGAGAATTTTTTTTTGGTTTTGCATTTTAGCCCGTCTACAATAATACCAAGAAAAGAAATTCTTGGGCTCATCCAGTGACGGGATAAGTCAAGCGTGCTAACATCCTATTGACACAGTCACTAACGCGGCACAATAGAAATTGTTTAGCAACGCAAGTGCTGTGTGTGCGCGTTTTTTCTACTAGCTGTTACTTTATAATGTTAATCTACTTACACGATTTTAAAATGCATTGACAACCTCTCCCTTGCTTAAAAAATACATTATTCTCACCGCTAACAATGCACCGTTGAGGGGTAGGTAAGGGTCTTCGTCTTCTTTCTCGACGTGGCTTTTTCAGAATAAAACTGTTTACTTCGCCAGCTATCATCACCACCAGAAGGAACAATATCGTGATGCTTTGAAACCGTGGCATTCGTGTTCATAGCTACCGTGAAATTTATGTAAGGAAATCGGGAGATAAGTGACGGCGTATCTGCTCAGTAAACTTCAGTGGTGTACTGGTCGATGAAACCGATTCAACAACTTGCGCGCGAGGGTAGGACTGGAACTAGGCAACGAGGATTGGGTTGGCGGGGGGCAAGGGGAAAAAAAACAACAAAAAATCAAATCGGCGGCTAAGAGCCTGAACCCAGGCTAGCGGTGGTGGTTTGGGAGTAGAGTGGGGGAGAGGAATAGCCCGGGGGGTACTCCCTAAGATGGCTTATACAAGGTGGCTCCGCACGAAAGATGTTTTTTTTTGGAGGCTTTCTTGGCCTTGCACTTGCATTTGAATAAAAAATCCGAAATATTTTCAAATATAAGCAGGTTTCAAGGTCTTGTAATGTCTCGCAAAGAGTATTTTAGAGAGCATGGGAACTGGTTCATATCAAAGTCTGCCGGACAAATACTCTTATATCAAGAGAGAATGATCATTCTCTCTTGCTTATATTGAATTTTACGACCGCGCCCCTAAATATGGCTGACTCGAATGGACCCGTAATTTTGGAACATTTTTCGTTATACTCTCACACTATTAAAGTGAATCCAAATGCACCTCCAGAATATAAAAATTCATTATCTTAGCTTGTTGGCCAAACTTGCTTTAAAGGAATTCAGACAATTTTTTCTCTTGGGTTTTTCAGCTTATAATTTAGCTGTTGGACTCTTTTTATAGATTCAATTTTTGAAGCAAGGACCAGCTTACAAAAAAGAAGGACCTGATCGTAATAAGGGATCTAATCAGCAATAAGTGAAAATATTAAACATATATGTACAAATTTATGTAACTACCCTGAAGAAGGAAGGCCGTGCCTTTCGAAATATAGCCTGTGTACAGACCCCCCCTCCCCTCAGTAAAAATCGAAGAATAGGTCCCTTCTCCAAATTTTACTGAGGGAAGGGGGGGGGGGGGGTCTGTACACAGGCTTTCCGAAGTTTTGGAAAAAATATATTTAATAATCAAAGGGGTCAGGGCTTCAGGAGCGAATAATTTTTCGTTTTTTGTGCAAGTGTTTTTTTTT